AGTATGTGATTCCTCTTAAAATAATGTGGATTTTTACAATATATGTTGTAGAATTCTTAGCAAATGCAGTCACTAACTGATGTAACCCTCCTCATTTCTTTCCAGTTTAAAAAGGTGCTGGTCATTCATGTATTTGGAGGATATACATATAAGGCATCTGGCACTGGTAGTGTTTATTTTAAATACTGATATTATTGAGACAACCAGCTACTTGTGTTTCATGAGTAGATCAGGAGTTGGTAGTTGTGCAAGCAGATGTAAAAAATAGTCTTGTTTTTTGAAAACATCTTGTGTATACACCAGTCTGTAGAGAATATGCATTTGACTGCAGGAGTTAAATGAAAATATAGGTCAGCGTAGTCTCTTTGGTTGTATGTGATGAGTGTGAGACAAGCATGTTTTCTCTGGCTGCATTTCTCTTCCTACCTCCTGCCCCCCCCCCCCCCCCCCAAATAAAATAGTTATTTGAATGACCAATGATACGTGTCCAACTGCTTCCTCTTTGATACAAACAGCACAGCCAGGAGGTGTACTGCAGCTCTGGCATGGCAGATAGGAGCACAGAGAAGATGCACGTGTCAGAATTCTGAGACATGAATTTCTCAGGCTAAACTATGGAGCCTCTGGTGATGGCTCCAAACCTGGACTGCTTAAAAAAGCCCATTTAAACACAGAAATTTGTCTTTGCTTCAAGGGCTAGTCTCATTTTTACAGCTGGCATACAAGTTCAAATATTTTCCAGTGTTTTAAGTGTCTGGCAGTCTTTTCTGCATGCAAGGCAGTGAACCTCTTCTCGTGCCTCATTTCGCTTGCTTCTTTGCTGCTAAAGAACCACAATCTTAAGAGGAGAAAAGCTTAGTTGTGTAGAGTACATAGCATAAAAGGATTTAAACTTGGTTGTTTCTTTTATGTGTATTATAATGCAGCATTGCAATTTGCTGCCTTTCTGAGACCTTAAATGTGATGTGAATCCAGTCCTCCTTTCTGTTTTCTCCATGTATTTCATACTGAGTCTGAAAGTGTAGTATTATTTTAATATTACCATTTTCTTAGCTTTAGAAGAAGGTAATAGTAAGTGAGTTTTGAGCGGATATATATGACTAAGAGGTTTAAAATACTGAGCATATAGTAGAGTCTTAAATAAATGTGGTGAGTTTCTTTTCCCTTTAAGCAAATTCAGGCAAATTTGAGCTTTTGAGTACTTAGGCTGATCTGTTTGCTGCTCCATGAAACTGGATTGTGCTTGCCCAATTGTCTGCATAGTTAAAATATTTTGAACATAGCCTATTTTGATGTAACTTCATTTGAAATATCTGCCTAATGGAGAAGTCTTAATGGAATACTTTAATAGCCCAAAGTGGTTACCTGCAATTGCTCCAGTGTATTTCAGTCAATTACAAAGAAAGGCAATATTTAATGTTGGAGTGAAGCTAGATGGTGTAATGAACTGGCAGATTGCCAGCTTGATCTTCTCCACAGGAGAATTTGTATTAATGTGATGCTTTTCATTTGTTCTCCAGAAGGTCACCGGTAATACATCAATTGGAGTTAAAATTTCCACTCTGTGTGGTACAGGTTTATGGTCAGATCATTCTTGTGTATTAGCATATTAAGTATCAAAGAGATTATTTTAGCTATTTCATGTCAGGAATAAATAGGAGGTGGTTGGGTATTGGGAAGAGAGCCTGAGAGACTTGTCATCGAAATAGGTGCTATAAGGTTGAATCTGGGTTTTAGCCATGGAGATAAAGAAAATGGGGCACATTAGAGCTATTAGTGAAAGGAGAGGCTGCTAATAACTGTGGGTGTTACTTGTAGCGCAATCATTACAAGGGCCCTAGTTTATTCTTTGAGGTTGTCATCTTTAAAGATTACACAGTGAAATATAAGGTGCTTAGATGTTATTGATATTTACCTTTTGGTGCTTGTTTTCAAGCCTCAAGGTCAAACTTTTATTTCTGGCTGTTGAAAAGGGCTTTTTACAGTGGGTTTTGTATAGTTCTTGTGTTTGGAAGACCTTGGTCTGGAAAACAAATGAGTCATTGAGGATACTGTTAAGGTGTGGACAAATTTGTCTTTCTGCCTTGCATGTTTGTAATCATGTGTTCTGTTCCTTATCGTTGTCTTCTGTTCCTCTGCTATGGGCCTCAAGTAAAGTGAGACTATGAAGACTGGCATGAGTGGTAAGGAGCTGTGCCATTTTACATGCAGTAGGGCCGACATTACTGCAGTAGTATGTGTACTGAGTGAGATGTGACAAATGGGCATCATGCTAAACGATACAGAATTGATGGGCCCTGGGTATGCCATGGGACGTGGCTGCCCAGCTCTGTGCCTCTGTTTGCTTTGCTGCCATTCAAAAAAAGTTGTTGATTTGATTTCCCAAGGTTTCTGATGTTGTGCCACTTTGTCTTTCGGGTGGACAGTGTTTGCCCCATACGCTGCAAGGCTTTTGAAGGTGGTTGAAAATGATTTTGTATTCTCCAAGTTTAACAGTTCGTCCCCCAGCAATCCCAATTTGCTATCAAACATTTCTGTCTGTAGTCCTGGCTGGTAGGACACAGCAGAAGAATCAGAAAACCCCATTTTTGGTGCAAACTCTGCCTGGCGGCAGGTAGTCCCAGACCCTAACCACTGTTTCCATTTATTGCTCTGTGAGAAGAAAGGTCCTGAACTTCTGTAACTGAAAGATTGTTTCAAGGAACATATTTTAAATATAAGTGAATATTTGAGGTCCAAGTTTCCATCCTGAATTTGAGTCACTTGGTAAGTCACAATGTTTTAGGTGAAGTTTTGGTCTGTTTTGATTAGTTTTTCAAGTATTGGTGATGAACAGTATTGTTTTTGGCTCACTTTCAAACACACATTCGATATGCAAGTGTGCATTTGTGAAGATGGAAGTAGTAATTGAGAGAGTGTTGGGTTTTTCTTTAAGGAACAAAACCAACCAAACAAAAAAAAATTAGAGACTTGGTATAGCTTTTCAGTAATTGATAGTAATGGGCTGTAGATAATTTGTGAGGTAGGAAAAAGAAAGCTAGTACTATTCAGAAGATCTTGTACCAAAAAATGAAGACTTTTATTTTCCTATTTTTCCCCATTAATATTAAAAAAGTCCTTGTATTATTGACAGGAGAAAAACATGTACTACAAAACATCCAGCCAGCAGGAAAATGTATCTGCTCTGCCTCAGGGTTTTAGTGTTGCTTCATTTATTAAAGTATCTTTCCAAGTTACTTGATATCTGCCCTATAATTTCAATAGAGCTGTTTTCAGTGAGAACACAGGTAAGGTCTATAATTGGTTAGGAAAACTGATATAGCAGAATGTGGTTGCCTGCAGTTTGTGTCTGCAGAAGGCTGAAAACACAGGTGAGGTGGCAGGTATTCCAGCCACCACCTGGCAGAGGAGAAGGGATTGGTCACCCTGCAGTCCTGTCTGCTTTCTGCTGTCACAGGCATATCTTCATTCAGGTGCTGAACTGGATCAGGAGGCTCTTCTGTTGGAATAACATTTCCTCATTATTTGCTACCCTCCATTACTCTTTTGTTGTTTGGGGGTTTTTTAATCTTGTGTGTTTTTCAGGAGGGCTGGAAATGTTTTGTCTCCCCTCGCAGCTGCTGGGGAGCAAGGGGTGAGCTGCCAGGAGCTGAGAGGCAGAGAGTCTTTCGTGCTTTACCCCCTAACAATATGTTTATGCTTAAATATCTGTCAAACTGGCGCTTTAGTAGTTCTCTTACTCCACTTATTAGTGAGTGGAAGTCTCAATCTCCCTTTTAAACATCTGCGTAAGGTATTTATAATACCTTTGTTAATACTTTTTATTCTTCCCCTGCTTTGCTATGATACATGGGATCATTGGATGAATTGCTCTTTTAAGTTTAATTTCTTCATAGGATGCTTTTGTAAAGTGACAACTGGTTGGAATCTGTTCAGAAAAGATTTTGAACAGAAACATTTGTTCATGAGTGCCCTCAGGTTGCGTAGGAGTTGTAACACATCCTCCTTTTGAGGTAGAATTGCAGCACAGGAAGTTGCTCAGAATTTTTTTCTTCTTTTTGAATTGGATCTTAATGGGTTTATGCTGCCTAATTTGTCAGACATCCTATGGAGTTAGAAGGGTCATTAAAAAGCAGAAAAAAAATGTTTAAATACTCTTAAGTCTCTTCTGAACAGTAACTTCTGTGGCTAGAAATACTTAACAGAACAGTGGAGGCCAGGAGGGACCTCTGGAGGCTTGTACCGTCCAGCTCCTGGCAGAGCTGAGGCTGCAGCTGGGGCCATGTCTAGTAGAATTCCAGGCATGGGAAGAAGGCCCATCACTTCTCAGGGGGCATGTGGCTGTGCTTAGCGACCCTCATGGCTTCTTTACATCCAGCCAGAATTTCCCTCAACAAAGTTCTTAAACCCTACGAGCAGCTTCGCCCTCTCTGTCAGAGCTCAGTTTTCTTGGGTCGCTATCTCTTGTGCCAGGGGGCCCCAAACCCCAAGGTGTGCTACTAATCCATCTGGATTACACATCCCAATGGGTGTGAGTGCCTCCTGGGTGGAAATACTCAGATGCCCCACAAAATTGCTGGCTGTGCTTTTGCTGGTGTACATTCTTTCCACATGCAATGGCGTTTCCTTTCTCGTAGGAAATACAGACAAGTTAAACTGACTAATATGAAAGTGAAGATAATGGTGCTTTTTAAAATGTAATCTTTCTAAAACTAGGCTAAATTTTTAATTCCATTTCTTACTGATTTTTCTCAGTATTATGAAGGCTGACTTTGTAGATGGTTTGGATTGTTTGTAGTTAAAATGACCTTGTATTCATTGAGAGAAGTTAAATATGAAATGGAGTCTGTTTGTGCTAAACAGGTGAATCAAGTTCAAGCCATTCTGGCTGCTCTTTAGCATCTCATAGGAGATTTTGATAGCATGAAAACTAAATTACCTAGTTGCAGGTCTTCTAAGTTTAGTGCTAGAACTAAAATATGTATTGTTTATTGTTTCAGACGGTGGTGTATATAACTTTATCGGAGAGTTCTGCCTTTCACTGCCTGGATCCTTTTAACAGTGTGCCAAAGGTGAGTGATTCAAGTTCAGTGGTTATTTTTGAAACTAAAGACAACAAGTGAACTGGATGCATTGCTTGGTTTCGGCTCTTATATGGCAGTGTAGTTGTGATATTTATTTATTTATTTTTTTGACTGCTGTGTGAATGATTAAATAGCAAGTCTTTTTCTGTTGGTGATCTGGGACAAATCAGTTCTAGCTCTCACTTTCAGAAAAAAAACCAAGAAAAAATTATAGGCTGAGACTATTAATTAAGCACTAGATATTGTTTTATGGCTCCTGCCTCCTGCTACCTACTGCTTTGTCTTGGGACATTTTCCCCTGAAGGCACAACATGGTGGTGTGGGAAGTATGGAGGACTAGCAGCCAGCCATAGTCTGTGGTGCAGCAGGCTTAATTTTACTCTTTGATTGAATTCTAAAAACTAGGTAATAGCTTTGAGAGTACTGAGAGTAAAGTATTGACTATTGAAGGTATGGAGAAGAAAGAAGGTTTTTGTGTTTTCTCTGGGAGCAGAACAGAATTGCATTCAATTTATAGACAGTATCTTAGGCAAGCACTGAAGACCTGACGTGGCCTATGGAAGCTGATGTTCCCATAGGATTCTTTTTGTGTTTAGTCTGGCTGTCTTCTTTCTGCTAATTTGTGTACCTTGCTGTAAATTTCTAGTAACTGTAGTTGATCTCTGTGGCTTCACAGTGATTTATCAACAGAAACCTTTAACAAAATGAAACTCATTACAATTGTCCTGAAAAGTAAAAGCAAAATGGCAAAACACTGAATGAATAACCAGCATTGTAGTGGCTGCAGCATGGAGCAGAAAAGCCAGAATCTTAGCTTCATTCATTCATTACTTTACAGGGTGGATTTATTATTTCTTACTCAAATTCTCTGTTTATAGAATAAAAGTAATGTTACCTTCTCCAGAGAGAAGTTATGAAGTCCAATTATTGACATTTTGGAACCTTCAAATGAAAAGCAATATATGAAGTCCTTGTGTGCCTCGATAGTTGTTGTGAGTTCTGTTAAACACTTGTTCAGTGAAGTGTTATGAGATACTGAAATTAGAATTAATTTTTCAATAAAGTGCGGGTGAACTAGTTAGAATTAAAAATGCAATCCAGTCTTAAGTATAACATCTGTTATCACAACATCTCTGTTTGGTTTTGCGAATGATTCGATTTCCTTCAAACTGAGAAGGAAATTCTGAAGTACTAGGGTACAATCTGTGAGATAATGGGCTTTTGCGCTATATTTTCAAATTATCTGATATATATTTTTAAATGTACTAAAAAATTTTATAACCCTGGCCTTTCTAGCTAATCAGAGTGTGTTTTTCTGTGATTCAGCATGTTTGTAGTTGTTAATTTTTGAGGTTTTTAAACCCAAGGAAAGCAATACTTGTTCTAAGTGTTTGATATTAGTTAGTTTTGGTAAACTTTGATTCTGACAGTTATGAAGAGAATTAAAGGTATGTGCTGAGTAGATGTTTGGATTCCTTTCTCTTAAAAAAAATTGATCTTCTGTAATTATACCAGTTATCCCAGGTGCCTAAAGTGTTGATTTTAAGCCTCTGAATGGAACTTTAGTATTACTTAAGTACATTTACAAACATTTAATATAATAAATGAATTTATGGAATACTGCCCATTATGTTATGCTAGTGACATGACCTGTAATTGTGGACAGTAGGGAAGAACACTCTCAGCCCACTCCTACAGTTCCATAACCACAGGTATACACCCCAAATTGATTGATCTTACCTGAATTATGTAATTCCAGTACTTTCTGGTTTAGCTTTTTCTTTGCTCTATTTTTCTGTTTCTCTTTGTAGTAATTGTAGTTCTTTGCTAGAAATATAGGCATGTTTTAATTTACTAATAATATGAAAATTGATTGAGAATCAATTGTTTATTTTTTTCCAGCTTTGATAGCTTCAGGTGCAACTCATGGCTGTAGGTATCGATAGTACATGTTACAGCCCACAAATGGCCTTTGCATTTGTGCTTTAACTGCAGTCCATGTGGATTCCTCATCACAGAACACTGTACAGCTTTCATCAATATGTGAGAATTCATTTCAGTTAAAATAAAACAATGACCATGTTTTTCCTGATGCAAGTAGTTTTGTGGTATGATAGCCAGTGTGGACTTTGGCTGTCTTGTCATCCAGAGTGTCCCTTTTTCTAAGCCGAAAATACTTTGCCTGCTGGAAAGAATCTAGCGTGTTTCTCATGAATATAGCTGAGTTAATGTGTGTAAAATAGTTACACTTGGGTACAAATTAGCTCACTCATATATATTAATGAACTGGGCATAAAACAGTTAGTGACCAACCTTGGTGTCTTAACCAGCGTTCAGAGGAATGCCACTGACAGAACAGGTTATTGAGCCCCTGTTTCTGTGGTTTCTAAATAAATATATCCCGGTGTTCCACCAGTTTCTATTAGAAGATTTAAATATGCACTGCACTTTTGAGGGACAACTGATGTGACTTAGAATATGATCTTGAAAAACACTTAAAAATAGCTTATGCAGTTAAGCTACATCACAGGGAGGATGTTCCGAGATGCTGAAAGTGTTTGTGGCTTCAGTGAGTTACATAGAGTCATATGCTGGGGCAAGTTGGCTTGAGGCTTTTGGGATGTGGGGACCAGGAGCAGTCCTTGTGCCAGCACAGTGTAGTTCAGTAGGTCTGTATTGGTGCAGGGGAGGGGTGGTGAACCCAAGTCCTCCTGAAGGAGGAGGCAGATTAGCAGCTGAGGCCACTGAGTTATTCCAAGATGTGACTGCCCCATAAAGAAGCATTTGTCATCTGAATGCAGACACTTCAGAGAGGTCCCCTGTCTCTGGTTGCCATGCCTGTTTTGTAGCTCTTTAGGGCTGACTGCTTGAGCTGGTGCTTTGCAGCAGCGTGCACGCAGCTGGCATTGGTGTAGGTCACTTAAATCAGTTGAAGGCCATTTGATAATAGCTGGAAGGCAGTTCTTCTGGTGTGTAGGCTTTGAGGGAACTTTAAATGATTCATTGTTCATGTTAAAATTGTTATGTCATAGAAACACGGCTAAAAATGTAAACATGTGTGTTTTCTATAGTGTTCTTAACGTTCCATATGAATGTAACATTCCATATTCAAATGGTATGTATTGCATCAAATGTATTATGATGTTAAAAACAGTTGGGCTTGTAATGAATGGGAAGAGACTGGACATGCGTTTGTCTTGTTCAGTATCTGGTGAATGATTTCCTGTGTGTTACCTAGTGGGACACTGGATAACTGCTGAAATTGGTGAATTTCACAGAACAGACTATTTAAAGGTTAGTGTGGAATATTTCTTGTGGAATTCTGATTCTAATAACTTGGTTAATTAATCTTGGATTACAATTGCTGTTTGCACTGTAGTAACAAAGCTCCAATTGTACTAAGCAGAGAGGACTGAGAATATGAGCTTGTTCTGTTGTTTATTTTTTATACCAGCAGCAACATGAAGCATAGAATAACATGCATATAGATACAAGCCTTTTACAGTCTATTTTTCTTTCCCTGATTTTAGGTTTCAGAGTCTCATTTGAAGATATAACAAGTTCCTTAACAGTCTTGTGGGTTTAATCCCTGCTTTCCTTTGTGCTATCTCTTCACACCCTTTTGTTTCAGGGATCACCTGCAGCTCTCATCCCTCCTTATTTTGGAGGCCGTTGTCTGTGTCAGCTGCTCTTAGTTGTTCCACATAATAGAGCTTCTGTGAAGCTTTTTTGCTACCTGCTCCATCACGCTCTTTTATCACCTCCTTCTTTCTTTTAAATGATCCTTCTGCTTTTTGATTGAGCAGCTGTATGCATAATGCTTCCAGCAGGTCCCCTGCTACTGTCATTGCTACTCACACTGGGTTTTTTTCCTCACTAGTTTGAGTCCTTGCATTTTTTTAGCACGTCTTTGTCTTGTGACAGCTTGTTTCACGTCTTCCTACTAACAATTTAAAATTTACCTCTAGCCTGACTTTTTTTTTTTTCTAATGTGCAATACTGATGTTTTAGCAGACGTGTTCCTATGCACAAGTTAGGTATCTGTCTCTTATGCAAGTAGGTACAGCAGGTGATATCAGAGAGATCATTTCTCATCATGGGGGATCATCATTGGGGGATCTAGATTTTCCCAAAAGGCTGATTTTGAATTCTCTATCTTGCACCAAAATCTGTAGCTCTTAGCACATACCCTGATAAGCTCAGTTGTCTCATACCATTAATTCTCAAGTTATCACATACCAGCCCCAAAAATGCTGTTGAACGAGGGTTAGACATCTCTTCATATTTGATCTCTGAATTTGTTTTTCAAGATTAAACAGTCAGAGTATTAGTTTTCCTTTCTTAGTTCTCCCTGAAGATTACTGAATGGTATTTTCTGCCAGCCCTGGATTTGCATAGGATCTGGAAATGTCTGTCCCATTATTGCTAGAGAGAGTACTGGTTCATTACAATGAAGACCTGGGTGCTTGGTAAGCTAAAGCATTTATCTCAAAACAAAAGGGTGTGACATCTTAAGTTTACCTGAATGTTTTGACTAGAACTACAAACCGTGTGTGTGTGTGTGTGTGTGTGTGTGTGTTTATAAAACTGGTTTTGAAACTAGCTCTCATAAGCAAGGCTTTGACAGTTGTGCTCCTTAGAAATTGAATTTACTGTCAAAGGGATAATGGAAACTTGCATTCTCAACTGCTGACTTGTGCTTCAGGCACTCTTTAGGTGCATGGCTGCTGTAACATACTTTCTGATTGCAGTAAATTACTGAGACTTCCTGAAGTCTTGGCCTGTGAGCTGTAGGCCCTCTTCCATGTAACATCATTTTGTGGCCAAAATGGGGGTGTCCCCACTGAGTGAGGAGAAGCTGCTGCTTTGTATTCTTAAGGAAAAAAGGTTGCAGCAGAGAGATCAGAAACCTGCTGGTTGTTGTGACCTGCTCCCTGCCTGTGGTTTAGCAGAAGTAGAGGAAAATGACAGCTTAAAGGTCAGACTAA